TTATTATAAGCGCGCTAACTTTGTGTGTCGGTTTGTGTCTGTATGTGTGTGTGTGTGTGTATGTATGTATGTGTGTCCGTCCGCAAAATGAAGTGAGTGAGAAGGAAGCTCATGGGATAAACAAACCGCTAACAAATCGGGTAGCTTACAGGATTTGAGATATCAATGTTTTGTAGCAGGATAGTTGTGATAACACTCTTAGGGCTATATAAACACCTGCTTAGCACACTTCCGTTCATTCCACATGGTGCTGCAGTGGCAGCTGGAGGGCAGTGGAGAGGAGGAAGGGAGGATGGGAAGCGAAAAATCTACCGTCATATCATGATTGTGTCCCTTCTACTGTATGAAACACCATTGTGTTGCATACGCGTCACTTCCAGGAGGTGTTGGTGTCACAGGAGGAAGGGACCATAGCGGAGGATAGAAAGCTTGCGCAGGAAAGGAAGGTCCCGGCGGTTGACGGGGGACTAATCTGGTTTATAAAAAAAAAAGCATAGCATTAGCAAAATGTTGTCCCTTGTGATAAAGAAGTAGCGCTAGATATTAGGTTGGAAAGAAAGTTCTACTACTTTTTTTTTACCATTTTTGATTTGAGCTTACTCTTTTTGTTTACAACACCTGACCAATCGGATGCCTACCACCACTTGTCTCCAATGCTCAGAAATTTCCTCAGTGCTCCTTCTCGAAAACGTGGTGGAAAGCGGGTAAAAAAAAGTAGATGACCTCGCTTTCAGACTGAAGTTTGGCGTCTTATTACCTCGTAATAAAGATAATAGAACGCGTATTGCGGGTAGGTAGAACCACTTTAATGGTTAGGTCGGTACAGGGGAATACGCTAGGCGAGGTAGAAATCAGCGTCGCAAGCTTCGCAGCAGACTTTTTAGCGGAAGCCATTGGTGATTCGCAATATTTCAGGAAGGACAATGAACATTGTCGCAAAACGAACCCTTCAAGCTGCCTCAGCCAACTTCTGGAGTTCTACAGCGTAGACCTCTACCTCCACAATGGCGCCCATATCGAAGAACTTGCGGTAGATCTTTGATGCTATTGGAGATAGTACTCGTCGTGCCGTGAATTCATAGCTACGTAGTAGATATTTGTACTAGACAGTGACTCGGAGTGCGGATTTGCTAGTGGTCGAGGTTTTTTGAATTTTCTTGGATAACTACTGACTGCAGCACTTATATCCACCTCGTGGATTGAAGCCTTGAGAATGCTCTACCATTTGGTAGTCATAAATGTTACCTATGAATTTTTCAGAAAAAAAGAAAATTCGAGAAAGAGTGTCGCAGAACTTTCTTTCCAATCTTATATTGTAAGTTTGCAAAGGGTACGGCAGCTCCTAGTAAGCTGTGGTATTAGTGATCCAAGCAATGAACGCGTGAGGGAAAAACCTCATCCAGGATACTCATCTTTACTGACCTGAAGTTTTCTAAAGAGAGAATCAACAACGGTAAACAATGAGTTTTGCCCATAACCCAGCATTCTTATGAAACTTGGGCAATTGCGAGGTTAAAACAGCAGTTAACTATCAAAACCAGTCAAAAACTGAAATAATTTATTCAGTATCTTTGGTAAAAGCCTATGTCTTCATTACAATAATTTCTCTGCTCCGGTTTCATTGCGGCATGTCCTGAATATTTGCTCGAATTAACATCGCCCGCCTTGCCTTCGCAACAATGCATGAAACTTACGCTCTCAAACGCCACGTCGATTCCAAGAGAATCCTGAAGCACTTTCTGGATCGTGGTCATGATGTTCATCGGAAGCAGAAGCTCGCGCCGCTGAAATGGATCTGGGTTTGAAAGATCGTATTCTACACCGTTCTTCAATACATAGATGAAATTTATATCGCTGATGAGAAACTTCTATAAATGCTTGAGCAACAACTTCGGCTGCCCTTCAATCTGCAGCCGGTATCGTCGATGTTCATGCTTTGGAGTGAGTATTGATTTTACGCACGTGTACATATTCGATATTTGCACCTGGCAAAGGCTGTTACCCATGGTATATAAAACCTGTTTCCATTTCAATTACGATTATTGCAACTAGAAACGACTAACAAACCGTTTCTGAAGTTCCTGGACTCCCTGTGGATCCCTCTTCAACTTTGACCTGCTTTTCTGTGGATATGGTGACAACGGAACCATCCGATACAGTTTGACGCTGTGAGAAGAATCATTATTCAGAAAAGTCCAACAGATAACAATTTCACTTTTGTCACATGATCAACGCCATTCGGGATTTGGTCAAAAGACGAGTTGAAAGACGCTGCATCCCAACCTGATTTTCGCAAGTGAAAAATGGCACCAATGTCGGGCCACTAATGACTAGAATGCCTGCGTTAGAGCGAAGGCAGTCGCCGGTCACCGGCGCGCGCCATCGCTCGTTGGACAGTGGAAAGCGAGAAATCCCGTGAGCCCACGGTGCAATTTACGGCCAGTTCAACGATCTAAGAGGTTGGTATGGGTAAATGTCCAGCTACTGTTCCAACTGCTTTAGCTCTTGTAGGTACTCTCATGTGAATAATTTGCCATCCCCTTTAAGCCGAAGGTTCCAATCCGTTATCCCCCCTGCCGCGTTTAAGCTGCTATATTAGACTTCTTTAATCGTTTAACTAGGTGTGAAGCTCCCTAGTAAACATTACCTCTGACCTGTGCATAACTCTTTTGACCGTCTGCGCTTTAGATTACTCTCCTAAATGCCGGATCCGCCGGGACTTCCCTCTAGCTCGAGCCTGCTGTAGCCATGACTCCGGAGGCAAAGATTTCGCCATGTAGCCCGCCAGAAGTTGTGAAGTTTTGCATAGTCGGAACACAATGCTCCTGCAACTACGACCTGACATCTTCCGCTACTTGAAATCTGGTTTGAAATTTAGCAAAGTGTAATAAATCCGCTTGGTCGAGGGGAGTGACTTTCTGCCCTCCCCCCCCCCTCCCGTATGTGGTAGTGAAAGCCGGTGATATAAAACAATGGCAAACATATGTAGCTTCGAACTGGATTTCTGCAATGGCACTAACCGACGACTGCTTTACAGTTCCACACTGCTTGCATTCTTCCTCCGGTTTCTTGAGTTGACAACCTCTTCTAGATGGAGATTGCCTACCGCGTCGGCACGGCTCCACAAGCGGGTATTTCGACAGAATCGCCAAGCGATCCCTGAGTCTGAAATGAAATCATGAAATGTTCACTGGCTGGTTCAATTCGGAACAGGGTAGTAATTTGTCTATTCTTTTGGTGCAAGAGACACTTCGTAATTTTCAGAGCGTTAACTTCAATTTCTAGCGAAAACAGAAGGTCAACGAGATGCTTCAAGGGGACATCCCCGCCGGAATCAATTATATTGCTGGTTGACGAAATCCCAACAATTTAGAGGGTGGCTTATGTCTAGTTACCAAGAAAAACACAGACCCGATTACCGCTTGCTTCCAAGTCGTTGAACAACCCCTCGAGCGCTTTCTATGATTTTACATGGAAGTTTAGGGTGTGGCGCATCAAAATGGAAGAGTAACAGAACATCACATTTAACACATTGCGGACCGCCGTTGTATGAGTACCTTCGTATCTTTTTTATATTTTTCAAAAATGTATCATCATTAATCTATCAACAATTTTATCAGTGATGACACGTATGGTTTCCCGGCTCTGAAAATGTGTGCAAACAGTTCAGAGCATTGAAAATGTCAAATAAATCAGATTAAACTATGCTGTTTCGCGCGATCGTGGGCGCATGCGGTACGCAATGTGTTAACTATTTGTAAGTGATGGAGCTTACCTATTCCTCTCAGTGATAGCTAGCCAAGCAGCAGCCGAGCAAACATCAAGTTGATTTTCCAGTTGTTGGAGCTCCTAAAAACTTACGGTAGCCGTTAAATTAACGCGAATACATATTTGGTTTAGGTGAATTTGATTGGGGCTTACTTTCGTGGAACTATTTTGAGTCTGAAGGTGAAGTAGTTCTACCGATACGAAGAACGACTCATAGTTCACAAGTATTGCGTTGTGAAGCAAACTTTTCGCCAGCTGAGACTAGAGATCAGCACTCTCGCTTTTTCGCGAAAAGTGCGCTACCAGTACGCTACCGGGCACATTGCTCAAGCTTGCGCATCGTAAACGCGAGACTGCTAGCAGTTTGAAACAGCAGTGACAAACTAAAAGTCTACTTTCATAGCGTTCCTTTCTCTCAGCATTGCTCCTTCGGCTCTTTTGCTCTCAATACTGCTATCACGGTGCATGCCTGGCTACAGCCGTCAGTATCTTGACAGAATTCGTTTCTGTCAGCCCATTTCCTGAATCCACGAGCATAATCATTTAAGTGTAGGAGGTAAAACCACAGAAAGTCAAAGCTTACCTGATGCGCAGCCCACTCGTTCATTTCGGTTCGCACCAACAACTCGGCCATTAGTTGCCTGACGTGAGCCATCTTTTCTTGAAATTCTTCAGCTGTTTCGACCTCGTACTCCTAAGACATTCAATACAGCCATATTGAGACAGTATCACTGCTTTGGCCACTCCGTGAAGAGCCTTATTTGGGCCTTTCTTGTTTGCTACGGATCTCTCCAAGGCCTCCACAACTTCTACAGTTACAGAGAAAGTAAAAAATGATGAACACTGCATTGCTCAAATGCTTTGAAGCGAACTACGAGACTATTTCTGCGCAGCGCTTCACGCAGATATATCTGCAACGATCATGGCTATAGTGTGAGCTTTTTGTTCAAATCGCCGAAAACGAAGAAGAATGAGATAGGACAACAAGTAAGTGCTTCGTTCTTTGTCAGTTGCAGCCTTATATGTCTCAATCCCGATCGTAAGACCGTTGCGAACGTTAGAGCGAGCGGACTTAGCGGTTCGCAATGTCTGACACTCAGCAACACATCAGCCTGATACCCTTCCGACAGTCTGACGCGCTTGCGCGTTTTGCTGTGCATGTGCCCCTAGTTTTCCAATTTTTGGGTCCGTCTGGTGATAGGGGCATTGCAATGCACAGTCTGGTTTAATGTCAATGGGGCTCAAGGCTCAATCTGCTAAAGTTATTAACTCCTATCAGCATCCTATTTTATTTCCTCAGTTTCCAGGGAGTCCCCCGGGGAAAGGGGAATTTACGATTGAATGCGATGTGGCCTATACAATGACTTGCGGGGGCCAGCCGATGTACAAGTCAGTGTTTTTATCCTCCCAGACAAGTCTGGTACCAATTAACCGACCCCGGAGGGATGGAAGGCTTGGTTGGCCCGGGCGACTCACGACCCAGGATTTGCCACTTGCCAATACACCACTTCCGCCCACTTCCTGTGATAGCTATGAAAATAGTTGCTATGAACAATTCAAGTCATCCTTATTGTTTTCATGCACTTATTCAAAGCATGAGCATCCCTCCAGTAGACTTCAACTCCGCCTTTCACGCGAATCTTATCTTTTTTAACAATTTTGAGAACTCATTCATGCACGAATTTGATGAAAAAAGAGGATGTTGCGTGAAGGCCTAATTACCATGGAACAATTAATGAGAGCGATGCGCCGTTTTGGTGGTCCTCATAGCATGGGAAATATTTAGGCATAGATGCGCAATTGAAGAAATGAGACTCGTGATAGAGCACTGATAGGAAGTGATAGTGAGGGACAGGCCGACTGGACATCAGCATGTCAAGGTAGATCAGAACAGTAATGGAACCATCTCACCAAATGGTAGCTGCGACAAATCTCCGACTGCTAAAGGATATGATAAAAGATAAAAATTGCTATATCGGATGTTCATGAAAGAGAAAGAAGGGTAGTGGAGAAAGTAGAAGAAGATCTATGTAGACATAAGTGTCGGTTTCGCGACTAAGTGAAGGCTCTCAATGGCGTGATAAGGCGCTAAGTGTGCCTTACATTTGAAGCCTTTTCGGTTCCCGATCTCGCCTACAGCCGGCGTATGTAAAGGATTATAAGGGCATGGTATTAGAAACCGTCATCGTTTTCAACAGCTCTGTTGGTCTCAAACACGTCTAGTATCAAATTCCCCTATTGACTCACCCTTGGCATTGACTGCATGTTGGACCCACCCATCACCCCTCTATTGTTAGCGGTGCAAAGCTACCCAGTCCTGTAAAACTACTCAGCGAATGAAGGCTTCATTAATCGTTTTTTGCGCACTTTCCTTTCCTTACTTTTTTTCAGTGACATGCATTCATCTTCATTTGCCGACTTATCGCGATTGCTTCAAGACAAAAGTGGAAGTCCTCGTAGACCCATACTGCCTGTATGGAGCGATACAGACATACACCTCTTAGGGCCAGAAGCACTCACAAAAAAACGTTATCGAAAGCAATATCGTACTAAAAGGCACAAAGGCTAGTCTATCCGCCCTGCTGCCTGCTGGTCCGCCGCCCACAGTGGTAGTATCACGTCTACGGCGTCTCGGATCCGTACGGTCTCTCGTCTGCGAGAATTCCATTCTTCCTCGGCGCCCATCATCTCTCATCTCGCTGTCTGTCACTTATAACCCTCCAAATCGAAGAACGACGATCTCCTCTATTTCCGTGTTTTCGATGGTTCCTCTCCTTTTTGACTGGCAGTCGACTTTGCTTTCTAACTTTCATTATAGAGTGCTCTTACCCCTCCAACTTGACCCTGAGGTGTACCTTTGAACAGAACCTGTTGTCACTCCTCTATCTCATTTTTGCCTACATTCGAAGTTTACTATGAGAGAATCATACTATTTGTGATATTAACAAATGATGGCGGCTAATGAGAAATATGATAGGGGCCAATAAGAGCTGGAATGTGAGGGTGAATGGCGTTATTTCACAGAGTATGTCATAAGCTAAGCTGTACATACCATTGGCTTTTCCAGTTCTCGAAGCACACATGGATCAACGTTTGGTAGCCAGCTTTTTCGATTTCTAAGCGTCTCTTCAGGTCCGCGTCGAGAGCAGCGGCTCTGAATAGTCGGCATTGTTTTGGAGATAAAAAAAACCACAAGCCGTTCGGAGCAGTGTAAAGCTACGAAAAGACCGAATATCAATTGCAAGAGATGCCAGAGACGAACGAGCAAAAACCATAGGCCCGCACTATTACAGCTTTTGTTTGCCTGAATATTATGTACCCCTCAATGCTCGCAACTCTTGTCACCCACTCCTGTCTGATCAACAAAATATACTCTTTCGTCGTCTTATTGTGAAGCTATAGCTCCCTTCTTAGCAGGTTCGAATCTAGCTTTCCAAAGCTAATGAGCATATTAGGGCGCTAATAACGTGGGGCAGAGGGTCATTCAAGTATTCTTACGGTATTTTTTTATTTTCACATCTACTTACAGCACCTGGGATTAACCCTTAAAGAGGAGAAGGGATTCTGTAGAAGATGTGAGCAATTTGTGTTTTCCCTGACGCTTCTCTCTTCTACTGGGCTTAGTCCTGGTGTCAACTTCGATCAGCCCTGTTTGAATGTCCACTCTGAGGACATGAGCGTCCATATTAGCATACTGCAACTCGAAAGCCCTTGTTCAAGCCATTACTCTCGGTAGAAAACGAATAGGCTCACGCGACTCTCATCGGTGCAGCCCTCATGGACCCCAACGCTCTCTCTGCTGAGCGGCTAGGGAGGCTGCGGTGGGTAACTAGTCCATTCGTGGGCGTGCCGCGTCGACAGCGCCGCGGGGAGGCCATGCTAGATCGCAATACCATTCGTTGCGACTTCCGTGTCGGTCCGCACCCTTGGGTGTCCGCTTGTCATTCCACTAGGTAAGTTCCCCCTTCTTCAACTTTCCACTCTATCGTGGAATCCTTCTTCAACCCTGAGGACCGGATCACGGCAACAAATATGACGCTTTGAATGATAGCATTTTACGCAGACAAACTTGAAGAGAGGTCGCTTCGAGTGGAATGCCCTTTCGAAATGAAAGCGAACGATGCCACTGCTAGCAACAGCGTTCGCCCAAATCACCAACTACCTAGTGGGTGGGGCGGTTAGGGGCGTTGCGGTTTTCAATTACTGCCCAGCAACCAGCGCACCTTTTATCGTGAACGCGCTACACTTTGCTTCTTGGCAGCGTTGCTACAGGGTGAATAACGGTCGAGGAAATCCTCGACCATGGCTCTCTACTGTGCGAGAGTAGTGCCGAGAGTGAACGTACGCGCGGAGAGCACAGACGGCTCGCGCATGGCGAGTGTGAATGTCCGCGCGCGAGATCGTAACTGATCAGGCGAAAATCCTCGACGTGCCGTTGAGGAATCCTCGACCGATGTTCACCCTGCTGCTACTGCTGCTAGTGGCGCCTTTTCTTCCCCGCGCACCCATATCGTAGTCATTCCCTTCGAAAAAGCGAATGGCTAAAGCCGTCTGAATCGCCTTTGCATTGAATTTC